ACGGAGGCCCTGGTTCGCAGGGCCACCGCCGCGGGGTGAGTGAGGGGACGCCGCAGGCCCGGCTGGGGCCCGTACAAGTCATCCTGTTTACGGAGCTGTGTTCTAGCAGTAGAACTGGAAATTTTAAAAAAGAAAATTGCTCATTACTGTGATATTGAAGGGACTGTAGAAGTTGCTCATTTTATTTTATTTTATTCCGTCTTTTGAGACACGGTCTCTCTGTAGTTCAGACTGGCATTGAACTATTCAAGGTCCAGGCTGGCCTTAAGTCATGGTGATTCTCCTGCCTCAGCCTCCGGAGTGATGGGATGACTGGAGAAGTTGATCTTTTTAAAGGTGTTTTGTGCCATCACTGACTGACATCACGTATTTTGTCATTAATCTGTAATTTCTGCAGGTAGAGTTCATTTGTATAATCTTGAAAGCACCTTTCCTGTGCTACGCTTTTGGCTGCAGTGCAATAGTTCTGCTTTCCAGACAGGGGGCGCTGCGGTTTATGAAGCAGTGTGCTTCCGTGGCACACTGGGAGGGGGTGTGGCTGCGAAGGAGTCCCCAGAGTCTGCAGCCCCAGCGGGAAGCCCCAGGCAGTGCCCTAGGGCCCTGGGTCACCGCCAGGCAGGGTCACCCATGCGGGCAGATGCACAGGTTCCTTAGGTTCACAGCCGTGGTGGCGAACCTGTGGCACGCGCTTCTTGCTCTTCTTTTAAGGCAAAAGCTGTTAATGTGTGAGTTGTTTTCTAAGCTGAAACCTTGGTATGCAGGTTCAGTTGCAGTGTTGGCACTTTGTGGTCAGCAATTGGGTTTTGGGTTGCAGTTTTTTAACTGTATTGTTATTAGTACGTATTTGTCACCCATATTGACCACATTCATCACAGGGAATTTGTACCTGCACGTGATACGTTCCCCTTCCCTCCCTTCAGCCCTTCTTCCTTTCCCCATTCACACAGCTTTGTTGCCATGTTTCCTTCCATTCTCTTTTCTACTGTTCCCTTTCTTTCCGCCCTCCTCCTCGCTTGTTCTCCTTCCTCTTGAACATGTTCTTCCCACTTCCCAATGTCTGTCCTCCACTTTACTTCTCATTTGCCATTTGGCATTGTCACACCAGAGAAATAGTGTAATGTTTACACTTGTGTGTCTGTTTTATTCCACTTAAGATTGTGGTCTTGAGGTGCCTCCGTTTACCTAAAAATGACTCAAGATTGTCCTTCTTTGTGGCAGAGTAGTACTCCACTGTATAGAAATACCACACGTTCTTTATCTGTTCTTCGCTGAGGGGTATGTGAACTGTTTCCAAGATATGGCTATTATAGACTGTGCTGCTATAAACATGAGTGTGCATTTATCACTGTGGGATGATGCTTTTAACTTTTTTGGGAAGATACCTAGAAAGAGAACAGCTGGGTCAAATGGAACCTCTACTGTTAGTTTTTGGAGGAATCTCTACACTGATTTCCGTATTGGTTTTACCAGTCTACACTCCCACTAGCAATGGAGAAGGTTCCTTTTTCCCAAGGGCCCCGCCAGCATTTGTGCTTGGTTGATTTCTTGATAGCCATTCTTTCTGGAGTGAGGTGGAATCTCAGTATTGTTTAGTGTGTATTTCTCGAAAGACTAGTGTTGTTGAGCCTTTTTTCATATATTTGCTGTTTGTATTTCTTCAGCTGAGAAATGTCTATTCATTTCAAATGCCCATTTTTGGGTTTGGTCTTTAAATTTCTGAGGTCTGACTTTCTTTTAGTTCTTCAGAATTTCAGATGTTAGTCTTTTTTTTCCCTTTTGGTCTTGGGGCTCGAACTCAGGACCTTGTGCTTACAAGGCAGGCACAGGGCCACTAAGCTAAATCCCTGGCCCTAGATGTTGGTCTTTTGATGAGTACCTGCTAAAAATTTTTTCCCATCTGTAGGTTGTCTTTTCACTCTGTTGGTTGTTTCTTCTGCTGTGCAAACACTTTTTAATTTGATGTGATTCCATGTATTATTTCCTGTGCAGTTGGTGGGGTTCCATCTATAGTCTTTGCCTATACCTTTGCCTTCCAGTCTTCCAGCAGATTGTTTCTGTTTTAATATTTGGATCTTTGATTCCTTTCGAGTTCAGCTTAGTGCACGGTGAGAAGCATGGGTGCAGGCTCTGTCTCGGCATGAGGACAGCCAGTGCTCAGTGCCTCTTGTCTCTTGCCTCTCCTTTTTCTCTCTGGCCTCCTGCCCTGGTACGTATGTTGGACCTTCTTACTCTGCTCTGCCCTCCCTGCATGGCCCTGTATGGTGTGGTTCCCCAGTGTAGCTCTGTTGCGTATGCTTTTTTTTAGCCCCTTGGGATTCCTCTTTGAAAATTAATTTTTGATTGTCTTTAAAGAACGTTTGTGTTGTATTGTAATTCACTGTTTTTGAGATTTTAAAAACTATACAGAATATGAAGGTTTATTTAAATAAAGATTACATTTTTTAACCAGGTTACACAGATGCACTTAATGTAACAAACAATACCTTCTGCAAAAATATGCTACATGGTACTCAGAAATGCAAGGAACAAACTTTGCTTTAAAAATTAGACAGCAGACTTTTTAAACTTAGACAGCCTTCAAAGTGGAGGCCGACAATGCTTGGTGACAAGAAGAACGTCCAGAGCCGGGCACCACAGTGCCAATGCTGCCAACTACCCACTACCACCCAGCTGCAAACTACGCCCGGCACTCACAGGGCCTTCAGCAAAACCGCTTCACTTCCCACCTTTTCAGATGTATATTGGTGCTGCAAGAAAGTAAAGTTGAATGATACATAAAACTATTAAAAATTATGTCAGAACGATTTAAACGTCTTCCCTAAAATTGAGAAAAACAATCATGTTAAAATTTTTAAGGAAAATAAAAAGTCTGACAACTCTCAAGCAGGTCAGAGGGTCCTCTTCTTAAGTAGTCAAATAAAGTTTGCAGAGATTTCAGTAAATTATGTTGAAACCATGGCAGAGAGCTCATTTTCAAAATCACCGAGGCGGTCCACCCTTACATGGGTTAAGTCCAGAGCCACTTCCTCTTGGCGTGGAACTGCCCCCGATCTGGACAGTGCTGCTAACTGGAGATGCGTTACTCGAGTGCGGGCTCATCATGCCCGCGCCTGCCTGGCCATCGCCCATTCACCTCATGTCATGGTAGCCAGACCCTTGAGAAGGTGGACCGTGCCACTCTTTCGTGGTCCACTTGTGTCCCGTCATGGTGATCAGCCACGTGTCGTTTGGTTCTTCAGGGTAGTGCTGGGCCCCACTGCCCGGTCTGGGATGACTCCTCTGTCACTCTCTGGGCCGCCACTCCCAGGAGGAGAGTGTCACGCTGTTTCCTGACACGACCCTCCCGGAGGGGGTGCTCTGGCCTTTCAGCTCTCCTGTCCCACTTGTCAGCAGACATGCTCCCTTTGCCCTTCCCGGACGTGGGCCTGGAAGGGTTAGGCCTGGCCTCTGGGTGGTGTCTGGGGTGCCATCTCGGGCCTGTCATGCATGATCACTGGTCTCTGGTTTCGTTCCCCCTCACATCTCTTCTGTCTGTGTCTGAGTTTTTCGTGGAGGAGGTGGCTCATTTCTTCTTGAATCACTGAAATTGTGGGGTATCCCTCAAAGATGGAATCTTCTCTTCGTGCAGTTGGCCGAGCTTTTTTCCCTTCACTCTGACCAACAAAGCTCTCCCGCCTATCAAAAGAGGAAGACTGTACCACTGAACTGTCCGGAAACCTGCCCCTCTGCCGGTGATCAAAGTCATTAAATCTGTTCTGGTGCTGAGAGCAGCTGGACCTGTGGCTGAGTTGGGCATCTGTATCTAGAGAAAACTTTTTATTCTCGCTCCAGTAAGGATCATCTTGCCTATGATCTACATCTCGTGGGTAATCCAGAGAATTCCCTTTTTCTTGTTCATAACAAAGCTGCTGCCGCCGCCTTCTGAGTTCCTCTTGTTCCTGAGCATCCCTTTCAGCTTCCTTAAGTCTTTCCTTTAAAGTTGTATTGCTCATCGCAGCCTTTCAAAACGAAGTAAATGTTCCCTCCATCTCTGTTCCTTTGTATTTTCAAAAGGCAAGATCTCTTTCCTTCTGTAGCCTTTGTCCCTCTTTTTATCCAGGCTGGCTCTCTCCTTTTCCTTGCTTCTTGATGAATTTTCTCGTTATCTTCCTTTCTTGAGGGCCTGCAATGATCTCCCTTAGTTTGGTCTAATATTACCATATGTCCTAGACTCTTTGAACTTATTCATTTCTTTTCCTCACTTTTTAAATTGATTCTGAAGTCTGGCCACTTGTTCCATTATCATTCTTCTCTTCTTTACTTTCTATTTTCTTATTATCCTTGCTTTCTTTTTTCTCATATTTTTTGGTTAATGTCTTCTCTTCTTTCTTGATAGAGGTTTGGCTCTTGCTATTTCTATCTCTCATATTCTCTTTATCTCCAGAACTTCTTGAACCACTCTTTTCATCATTTTCTTTCTTAGAAGGATCACCTTTTACCTTCTCCATGGAAACCGGCTGCCCACGCCGTTCAGTTCGATGAAGATGGGCAGTACACCTGGACACCTCTGTGCTTGAAGACATAGTGACAATGCCATAGCACTTTGCCCCAGGACTTCGAGCATTTGTTACTCCCTTTGCACTTAACACCTTTCCGTATTTGCCAAAGAGGTTCTTCGGATCGGCAGCTTTGGTATTAGAAGAAAGTCCACTAACCCAGATCTGTTTAGTTGAGCTTC